AATATATATAGGGTTTATAATAATTTACATAGTGATATATATAAAAATGTATATAATAATATATATGATAATATATAATAATATATAGTAATTTATAATGATATATATATAGTTGTATATATTTATACATACGCATATATACTTTGATATATATATACTTACTATGAATCACTCTCTGAGCGTTTTTAGAATCCTCACTTACCGCCAACACCTCCCGGAAAAAGTATCGTATCAGTATCTCCGGAAAGGGTTGCGCCAGTTCTGCATAGTCAGTCGTGTGTGATAAAATAGTTAGGTATTAAAATAGCGTGGTGACGCATTAGCGTAGCACCGAACTAGTGTGGGGAATGGTCAGTGCGTGGATATAGAATGCCCGGGGAGATGCGTAGTCCGTCGTAGTGGCACGGTTAAACATCAGTGATGAGTCGACTGTTCCGGACAAGCGGATATAAACAGATCGGCGGGATGATGAGTGTGGTATGTGATGTATTAGTAGAGAGTGTTTCGGGTTATATGCATCAGTAGATTTGGTGGTGTAGTAGTAGAGTACGTTGCCTCATACACTTGTGCGTGATGACTCATAGTCTGCTTGGCCACACACAGCTGCCGACCGAGCGACTACGAGGCCATTCCGAGTACTAGTTTTATTAGGGAACCCATTAGAGTTGTGAGAGATAGTTTAATGGCTGACGGAATGAAGTGCCGTAAGTTCGCTGTGGTATATAAGTAGGTGTTGCACAATCCCATACCAGTAGTTAGTCTCCTACTCAATCTTAGTTTGTTTGCCTATGAACCTGCTACCAAACCAACATGCGATCTGAATGACTAAATACACAAACCCTGAAACCCTAAACACTCGCGTGGGTCTCGGTTGTATACACCACCATCTCTCCAAACAGAAAGGGAGCAACATACCTTCTCTTATATCCAGCACAGACCCCCCGGCACAATACTCAATGGCCATCTGTTAGGGCGAGATCAACAATCGGTTAGAATATCAGCATGTCCCAAATATGAATTTTAGGGCAGGTTTAACAATCGCTTAAAATATCAGCATGTCCCAATTATGAATTTTAGGGCGAGATCAAGAATCGGTTAGAATATCAGCATGTCCCAATTATGAATTTTAGGGCTGAGGGTTTCGAGAGACAAACAGTAACGGGTGTATCTGGGGTAGGCGTGAATGGGGACTCGGGGACGTTATGCGACAGGCAATGTATCAGGACAGGGCGAATATAATCTTTCTGAAATGCTCTGAGGCAACAATACGAATGCAGGTCAATAGCCTCGGTTCATCACGTTTGCTACAACATTCACCTGCAAATGACTGGTAGTCTCCTAAGGCCACATCCTGTTTAACTGATATCTACGGTATTCCAGCTACTAATACACAGATCCGGTCTGACTATGTACGCCATTCTTAGCACCACCCACACGGTAATAGTCACTGCCTATAGCTATGCCTATGCCGTTCTACACCTACACATACCGTGATCTTGCGCTTCTGCAGAAACGCGTCGTCCATTGAGACAACATTCTCGTGTTGCACACGCTTCATAATCTGCAACTCATTGATCACATCTTCATCATCCTAATGGTTCCATACGCGTGTGGATTTTGTATACATGCCGTTAGTGTAAAATTGATGTGTACTTGTGAGTGGCAGCAAACCTGTACTTGTATGCATATACAATATATAGGTTCAACGTTTGCGCTCGTATGTACGTGTGGATAGTGGACACATGCATGTGGTGGTAGTATGTCTGCGCGCCAGATCACCTCAGCTTAGCATCGTGGTCCGACTGTCAAGGATGATCACACTGCAGATTCCTAGTGGCTAGGTCTGTGATGTTTATCTGGATGCATGAGTTTCGCCAAAGACAAAATGCGGAGGTATCGGGACAGTATACAACAAAAATTAAATAAAAAATAGAGCATACAGAATACAGCATATACATCAACATAAAATGCAACTTATATCTGAGACAGACAAAGCTGAAATAATACTTGGTACAGTTATACATGTAAGTAACCATATG